CTTCACTGGCCCTGGTGTCCACAGGGTGGCTGTTCTCATATCTTCTCACTCTGCTCTTCTCTGGCTGCAATTACAACTGCACAATAACTTTGTTATCACCATTTCTAGTTGGCCCAGCCTTTGCCAGTGGCACATCCATCTGTGGAGCCACCAGGGACTGGTTCTGCCAAACATGAAGAAAGCTTCCGGCAGCTTCTCACAGAAGCCAACCCTGCAGCCCTGCTGCTACTGAAAATCAGGCCATATAAATCCTTAAGAAGTTGTGTAACTCTGAAATAAAACTTTAAAACTAAATTGTTTGAAAAATATTGTATGGACAACCCTGAAAATGTCCTCTGTCTTCAGTAATCAAGCCTATTCAGCAACACAGTTTAAAAGACATAACTTCAACACAGAGAAGCTTATTTTGAAAGTCACTAGTATAAGAAGTTACCAGGAGAATAGGTCATCTTTCAAGTTCACAATTGTGACAATTTTTTGTGATGGGTGTCAGAAATTCATGTTTGTTTCAATGATCTCTGTAACACCATTACTTTTGTTCTCTTCCAGACAGGTATCTTTTTTCTTAGTAAAAGTAGCAAACAGTGTATCCATCATTCCCAGAACTTCCAGTAGTTCTTCTTGATAGTCAATTTCTTTTCCAATAGCTTCCTGAAGTTTCAAGAACTGTTTATCAACTATTGCTGACTGCCCAACCACAGGCTGATAAATATCTGTAGAGAAAAATATCAGTTAAGAATCCATAGATGTATAAAAAGGAAAAAATTGTATTAGATAGTTAGAGATTCATTTAAGGATTCTAGCACAAATCCAACATTCTGAAAAAATAAGGTAACTTTAATGTTGTCTGTTCTGAAAGCAGTGGTTGCATGTAATTACAGGGGCAATATGTCAAACAGAAACTGAAGTTTTTATGACTTCAAATACTATTTTTACCTCGCTGAATAAGAGGATAATAAATAATAAGAAACATGAAGCATCAAAGGAACTTCAAGACAACGAGGAGCTTCCTGCAGCCTATGCAAACTGAATCCTGACTATGGTCAAAGTTATCTGGAAATACCTCTTTTTAGGATCATTCTCTTGACACTAAATCCATACATAGAAACAAGCCATAAGGGTTTGGTTTCTTAAAAATGTAGCACTTTCAATCTTGTTTCAATTATATAGCAAGCTAGCTATATGGCTCTGAGCATCTTTTTTGTGTTGTCTTACCAGTGATCATATCAGCAACAGTCACCAGCACAGGAGTAAATCTAGGCTCAATCACACGCCTGCAAAATTAGAAGACATTCCAATTTTACCTGTTTTGTAAAATTTTGTACTGCACTCGACCAACAACAAGCAGCTTTCTCACATAGGCATACAGTCAAATATTTTA